CTATAGTTGGTATATACCTAAAATCAGTCATGGAACCCAATGCATTCTTGTTTAGAACACATACCTTAATCAGGAGAGTCAAGTTATAACATAGCCTAAGCTAAAATAAATTTATTGAATTAAAAAAAAAAAGGAACCAAAGTTAGCTTTTACCTGAATGCAAGCATCCTGACCCCTGATTGCAGCTATGTGAGCTGCTGTCCAGCCTCTCTTAGTTACTTGTGTGATATCAGCTCCATGCCAGAGCAGCCAATGAAGACACTAAATTAAGAAGATAACCATGTTAACACAGCCATAAGGCAGATATTTTTAATCCTTCAAATTTCATTTATCATTAAATGCCCAGTACAGCTCTAAAGGGATCATAGATGGGGGGAAGAGCAGAGCAGGTCTCGGATTGCCATCATGTCAGGGCTGACTCATCATGACACCCTGTGGGTTTCTGAGACTGTAACTGTTCACAGGAGTGGAAAGCCCAGTCTGTCTCCTGAGGAGACAATCATGCCGATCACAGCCCAGTGGAACCACTACACTATCAAGTATAATGAAAAACAGGGCACCACGTTGTTCACAAGGTATGGATACTGCTGCTCAATTCTAATAATGTCTTGCTGTGAGTGGAATGCCGATTCAGTGTTGACAAGTTTTGAGGCACACCTATGTATGCCACATATGGTGTTATCATCTTTATGTTATACTTTTCTGATCAATTTGTAGATTCTACCATCAAGAAGTTTCTTTTTGTAAAAGAAGTGATTGTGTCAATGGAATACACTGTCATATTAGTCAAAACCAAAAAAAATTTAGAAAAAGTTGGTAGTTCCCATATCATTTTCCTGTCATGGAGATTAAAATTCACCGCCTTCAGGTCAATTCTGACTCTTAGAGATCCCACAGAACAGGGAAGACCTGCCCTCGTGAGTTTCCAAGACTGTACCCGCTTTATGCGGAAAGAAAGCCTCATCTTTCTTCTGCATAGTTTCAGCTGATAGTTTACACCTCTGATCTTGTCATTAGCAGCCCACTTAGTCATGGAGACTAGTAGGCAAAAAAATATGAAAAACAAATTCTACCTCACTAATAATCATAATAAATCATTCATTCATTCAACAAATATTCTTAACAAGCCTACAATGTGCTAAAAATTGTCTTATGTGTTAGAAACATAAACAAAATTTCTATCCTCCTGGTCATTTTTTAGTTGGGCAAGACAAGCAATGGACAAATAAAATATATATCACTATATTATAAAAGTTATGTGGGTGGGGGAAGAGGAGCTGATACCAAGGGCTCAAATAAAAAGTAAATGTTTAAAAAATAATGATGGTAACATATGTACAAATATGCTTGATACAAATGATGTGTGGAATATAAGAGCTGTAAGAGCCCCCAATAAAATGATTTAAAAATAAAACCTAGGACAGAGAAAATATGTATATGATACAATATAAAACAAAACAAAAAAAGTTATGAGGGAAAAGAAAGCAGAATAAAAGAAAATAGATAACTATATGCTTAGTGATGGATCTAACCACTGGAAAACAGAATTTTTTACCTATTAATTTAAGAAAAACTTAAAAGGTCAACAATATCCAGGGATCAGAAGAATTGTCATTCTTATATACTGTAGGTGGTAAACAGGACAGTATTTTTGCTATTCAAAAGAATCCACCAAATTTTAAATATATGCATACCTATATTATTTGGTCCAGCAATTCCATCTCAGATATCAATTATAAAAAATGCTCTTAAGTACACACAGGTATATATCACAAAGATTTGAAAATAGCAATTTGTAAATAACAGTGGAAAGCTCAAAATGAAATAAATGTCCATCAATACAAAGAACTCATTTAAAAGAGATTATACATACAATGGAATGAAAAATATCTAAGAAAGTAATTTTAGTTTCTTTTCATTTTGCAAAAGGAAGTTGCATCATCTTACAGATAATGTGATATTGGCTTTGTTTCAAATAAAGCTCTGTGTACATGGGACCATTTATACGTGCTTTATTCCTAACTTACACATCTACATTTACTAATTTTGAATTAGTTAAGTGACAGGTGTTCTCCCTTGATTCTAGATGGTACTATAACTGGCAAAAGTGACAGTGCTGACTTCTGATGCCAAGACAGAAGGCGAAACAGCTTCAACCAGGAACCTGGCTACCATGCTTTGAGGAAGTACTTGGTATATGGAAGACCACATGAATAAGTCCTACAGGTAAGGAATAAAGGTGCTCATCCAACTGCATCAACCAGCACACATCTGACTAAACAAGCCTTCAGAAGATTCTAATAATAGCGCAAACACCAGACATTAAGCATAGATAGATTGCCCCGATTTCATCTCAAATTTCAGATCTATTGACAAGCATAAAGAATTGTTGTAAGCGACTGAGTTTTGCGATCTTTGGTTATAAAGCCATACTCGCTGTCATCAAATAAATTCTCACTCATAAAAAGTCACAGAAACAAAAATCCAAACATTTGACTGAACTGAAATGAGTAACTGCAGTGAATAGAATACAGTCTCAGGGTTGTTTGCTGACTGTACAAATCTGCTACACCTATAAACTTACCTGAGTCTGATCATTTATTAAAGCTTCTTACCTCCAAGCTTCCAGAATGTGCTGCCCAATGTAAAGGGCTAAACTTATGGAGAGCATCCACTTCATTAATGCTGGCTCCGTGTTCCACTCTTTCCGAGAGCTGCTTTACATCTCCTGCCCGCACTGCATCATGAATGCTTCCCAGATGAACTTTCTTCCTGACATCTGCTGAAAAATCAAGTTGCGTAAAATATATCACAGAGTTGTGGGGGGTAAGACTGCAGTCATGATTTAATAGAAGCACAAGATCATGTTGACTTTCCAAACAACTTACTACAAAGATGTTTTGCAATTAACATCTCAATCAGTCTTTCCGTGTCACCTCCCCGCAAGCAAAGAGCGTGGGAATTGACACCCCTGACAAGAAAGCAAGCCCAACCAAGTGGAAATCAACACCTTTTCTTGGACTCAGAGAATTGAAGTCTCAGAACAAACTGCCACCCTACACTCTGGAGCCAGGGGACAGTACAGAGAAACAGAGGAGTTCCACTTAGCTGGAACAGAAACAGCTGAAAGCCAGCAACTACCTCATGGAATATTTCTATGGTCGTTTTGATGAATTTCGCAGGCTGAGCGTTTACTATCCGCCCCCCTCCCCCCAGTAAGAAATCCCTGGGTGTGGCAATCTTAGGGAGGCCCCTACACTGTCACAGATTTTACCTCCAGAAACCCCACCAGGTCATCACTATGAGGAGGCGAGAAAAACCACTTTGCTAGATGAAAGGGAAAATAAGCCTGCCAAAGTATGAATGGCCTGCACATTCTCGAAAGCTTATTCTTCAGTGACTAAGAAGTTATCACAAATTTATCTCACATAGAGAAAAAGGCGGTTACCCAACTCCAGCTCCTCCTTGTCTTTCTGTCTCACCTGAGTGTGGGAGGAAAAACAAGAAAGGTTATACCTGGGAAGGTCGCCACCCAGGAAATACCTGCATGGTCAAAGATGAAGATTTAATCATAAACTCCTAAAATGATACATTTCTTCCTCTTCTCTACACGTCAACAGAGCTCTAGCACAACACTAAATTAGT